CTTCCTCCTCTTCTGTCATCAATGCACTGCAGTACAAATTAGAGGGCACCTCAAGTTTGACGAGGAAAAGAGGGTTGAAGTTAGCCACAGCTTTGTCTCTGAATAACAAATTTGTGGAAGGCAATCACGACAGTACTATTAGCTTAACAAAGAAAAACATGGAAGCATCAGTGACAACAACCGCAAAAGTCCACATTCCAATTTTGAGAATGAATTTCAAGCAAGAACTTAGTGGAAACACCAAGTCAAAGCCTACTATCTCTTCATCCATTGAATTAAAGTATGATTTTAATTCCCCCAAGCTGTATTCCACAGCTACAGGAGCAGTTGACCACAAACTCAACTTAGAAAGCCTCACCTCTTACTTTTCCATTGAGTCATCTACCAAAGGAGATATCAAGGGTCTGGTCCTTTCACGGGAATATTCAGGAACTGTTGCCAGTGAAGCCAGCACTTACTTGAATTCCAAGAGTACTCGGTCTTCAGTGAAGCTGCAAGGGGCTTCCAAAGTTGATGGTGTCTGGAACCTTGAAATAAAAGAAAATTTTGCTGGAGAAGCCACTCTCCAACGAATCTATGCCATCTGGGAACACAATACGAAAAACCACTTACAGCCAGAGGGCTTCTTTTTAACATCCAAAGAACATACAGGCAAAGTTACCCTGGAACTCTCCCCATGGAAAATATCAGCCCTTGTTCAGGTCCATGCAAAACAGCCCCATGGCATCCTTGATATCAATTACCTTGGCCAGGAGGTATCCCTGAATGCTAACACTGAGAACCAGCAAGTCATCTGGAAGAGTGAGGTCCATGTTCATTCTGGGTCTCTCGAAAACAATGTACAGCTTTCCAATGACCAAAAAGAAGCACGCCTTGACATTGCAGGTTCCTTAGAAGGATCCCTATGGTTCCTCAAAGATATTGTCCTACCAGTTTATGACAAGAGCTTATGGGACCTTCTAAAGCTGGATGTAACCACCAGCATTGATAAAAAACAGTATCTTAATGCTTCCACTACCCTTGTGTACACCAAAAATCCCCATGGCTATACTTATACTCTCCCTGTGCAAGAATTAGCTGATAAATTCATTATTCCCTTACTGAAACTAAATATTCTAAATTCAGTTCTTGTCACACCTACGTTCCACGTTCCATTTACAGATCTTCAGATTCCATCCTACACACTTGATTACACACACCTCAACATACCAACACTACCCAAAGTGAAATTCCCTGAAGTTGATGTGTTAACAAAATATTCTGAACCTGAGGACTCCCCAATTCCTTTTTTTGAGATAACTGTGCCTAAATCTCAATTAACTGTGTCCCAGTTCACCCTTCCAAAACGAATTTCAGTTGGCACTACTGCTTTGGATCTAAACAAGGTGGCCAGCAAGATTGCAGACTTTGAGTTGCCAACCATCACCGTGCCTGAGCAGACTATTGAGATTCCCTCCATTAAGTTCTCTGTACCTGCTGGAATTTTCATTCCCTCCTTTGGAGCACTGACTACACATTTCAGGGTGGCCTCTCCCCTGTATAATGCCACTTGGAGTGCTGGTTTGAAAAACAAAGAAGATCAAGTTGAAACATTCCTGAATTCCATGTGCAGCTCAACCATTCAGTTCCTACAATATGACCTGAAAGGTAAGGAAATGTCCCCACTCCTCTCCTAGATGCTGTGTGTGTT